TATCTGCCAGTTACCTTCTTTTTGTTTTTCAGTCACTGCCATATTTTGGTGAAATGACATTTTTTCACGAAAAACTGTTATTACATAAAACCCCAATGATAAAAGGTAATTCAAATAACTCTGTGATTACGATTTTTTTTATGTTTGAAATAAAAACTAAAATCTCCATGTCGAACTCACCATTTATGCTTATTTCATGAATATTTTCACACGACTTTATTTTTCTGAAGTGCCAACATTCCTGCGAATTTATTTTACAATACATGTAAAAAAAAAAAGCAGTTTGATGAATTAATTGATCTTCTTTCCCTCAAAATGTGCGGTCATTTTATTTTATGATACATGTTGAAGAGATGTTGTTGATTTTATGATATGGGCATCCTTTTTTTAGTTGATTTGGTACTCATTTTAATATCTAAGATTCAAGTGTTGATGCTATAAGTTTATAATCACAAAACTAACTCGGATTACCACAAATGGAACTTCAATTTTGATATGTAAGATTATAAGACCAAAAACAACAAGAACATTTATAACAAGTTTGTTGAAAAACAAGTCCAATCATGACAAGATAATCACCAACCAAGAAGTAAGAGCTTCAACAAAGCCATTCGAATGAAGAGTCCATTTTTGGCTTGTCTAAAGTAGGCAGCTCTCGGGTCTCCATCTACTTCCACTCTTATCTACATATAGATAGACAATCATCAAACATTGTGTAAAAAAAAAAAAATCTAGAACATGCTAAAGAGAAGAGGTTTGTTTTTACCTCATCAAGCCTTGGGAGAGGATGCATGACAACCGCATGGTTTTGCATAGCACTCAAAATATGAGAATCGATAATGTACTTTCCACGAGCTTCCTCATAAAGATCAATCCTCTCCCCAAATCGTTCTTTTTGAATCCTAGTTTGATACACCACATCACATTCCGATGCCACCTCCTTTAGATTCACACTTTCTTCCCATTCAACCCCCTTTGATGTCAGGTACTCTTTAATGTCATCCTATTTATTATATTTTATAAATATTACCAAACCATTTAAATTATTATTATTATTATTATCAAGTCATCAAGTGTACCTTCATTTTTACAACATCTGGGGAAACAAAGTAGATCTTGACATCATTGTATTTGGCTAGAAGATATGCAAGGGAACGAACGGTTCTCCCATTAGCAAGATCACCAACCAGTCCAACTTTTATTCCATCCAATTTTCCAATCTCTCTTTCGATAGTGTACACATCAAGAAGAGCCTGTTATATTTACTCATGACTTCATACCCTTGTACTCACTTATAAGTTTATAAATATTTTTTACACGATTCTTTATACAAAAAAAACATATATAATTTTTTTTGCATGAATCGTAAGATAATACAAAAAAGCACAATCTTTTTATCGTGAACTATTAATTGATATGTTACGAAAGCATTACAGAATCACGGAGATATACATGAAGAGTTTGACTTGTGCAACTACATATTCATGGATTCTTTTACAATTCCATGGATATTAAATTTTTATGGGTATACATACCTGAGTAGGATGCTGCCCTGGTCCATCACCAGCATTAATAACAGGAATGTTAGCTGTCATGGCTGCTCTTTTAGCAGCACCACTTTCAAAATGCCTCATCACAATTATGTCTGAATACCCTTCAACTGTTCTTATTGTATCTGAAAAACAGCATCAACTATCAAATCAAAATGAATCAATGTAGACTTATATCAAAAAACTACCTTCGAGTGTCTCTCCTTTTGCAGCAGATGAAAACTCTCGTGCATTTTCTGTAGTCAAAACTTCCCCACCCAACCGTTTCATTGCTGATTCAAATGAAAGCCTGGTCCTTGTTGAAGGCTCATAAAAAAGAGTAGCCATTAGATAACCCTTTAAAATCTGGTTTCCACGTGACTTCTTCTCAATTGCTTCCATTTCACGTGCCACTTCAAATATAGCACTCAGAATGTCCCTATCAAACTGTTGTGCTTCAATCACATCATCAAGTTGAAACATGTCCCCTTTCAAGAAACTACGGTTCCTTTCAATATCTAGTGCCCTGCACTTGAGCCTTCCAGGGTGGCGCCAGGTCATCGAGTTATAAGGGTCAACATATATGTGATTTGTCTTCAAATGAATTGAATGCTTAGGGAAGCAACTTGGTTTATTGCGCATGAGTTCATGATCTAGCAGAGTCTCATGCAATGCACGTGTTGAAAATGCAGCAGATGACATTGCCTTAACTGGATTTCACCTGAATAATGTTTTTCACAAACCTCAACGTTTAGACAGTTAATCAGGGGGTGTTTGGGTTTCAATTTTCAAAGGGAAGAAGCAAAATCAGCTGATACAAGTTATGGTATACAGGTATAATCCTAATCACACCAGAGTCAAAGTCTAATGCAGAGAGCAATTATTCTAAAAAATGTTCAGAAACCATCTTAATTAGATTGCCAAATATCAAATACTATATACCAACTCCTTAATGATGCTCAGAAAGAAATGCTTTGCAAGTGGCTCTATAGTGAGGGCTATTAATGCTTACAAGACACACACACACAGAGTCTGCAAACGAGGGTTTTTGACGATATGTTAGAAATACAAAGTATCAGTGAGCGAGTGTTTTTGATGAAAAGCCGAAATTGAGATGAAATTCGAACAGTAATCAGCACAATCTTATTGACACATAAAAATATGTAGGAACAATTAGAGCAACGATGAGATGGAAAATGCGAAATTACCTTGGAGAATGAAAACTCTTATGTTCTTGTGCAATAAAATAAGAATCTACGGCGACTTTGGGGGCGTGGCGAGCCGTTGGCAGCGGAGGCCTATAGCGTGGAACAATCGCATAATAACTTTTATACAAAATTTCAATCAAAATATCAAAATACGAAATCAAGAATCGATACCTAAAATAAACAGTGTTGATGCAAATTTATATAAAACAGGAAAAAAAAAAAAAAAAAAAATCATGGTTGCTTTCCATTTTGATATAATACTGTTTATCTAGTTTAACTTTTCATTTGGAAAAAATAAACAATTTTTTTTTTTATATAAAAAAACAGAAAAATGTCCAGCTCGTCGAGACTTTTCCATGGGTTCCTTGTAAGCCTCTTAACTCTTCATGGACTAGTTATATGTTATGCAGATGTTTGATTATGACCATGTTTGATATGCGACTGAGGACATTTTTTTTGATCTGGTAAGAAAAAAAGAATCGGTTGATTGAGAAAGGAAGACCTCGTATTCCACTAGTGCCCTTGCGTGTGTATCCATGTACATGTGCGTGTGTATTGTATCCTAGCAGGAAGAATCGATCCAACACCCTCTTTGCGTCTCAGACTCACATAATTGATTGATCCAACACCCCTTTTGCTTTCTTAAAAATGATCACACCCCACCAAGAATTGCACCCTCTCATTCTCTCTAGGTCGATCGACCGACTGGCTCTCCACTTCAATTCGAATTTAATTGCGAGTATGTTTCCCCTTCTCATTTGTGTTTATATCTCCAGCAACAGTAAGAAATCAGACCCTACCCCTTCTTCTAAATCGATCACAATTCTTCTTCTTCTTCTTTTGTGTGGTAAGTGTGTTATTTTGGGTTTGGGGGGGGGGGGGGGGGGATGGCTACTTGGTGGTGTGAGTGTGTTTGTTCTATGCTTATACTAATAGTCATTTACGTAGGTATGAATATGGCTGGGTCTAATTGGAATGGCTATTAGATGGGTATCTTGTATATCTTGGTGTATTATCAATCTACCATGCCAATGTGTGCAATGAAAGTTAGATACTATTTGTCTCACATCGACTTTGACGAATTCTAAGCATATGTGGAAGTGATATAGTTGGATGTACTCTTGGATTAGATTGGATACAATTGTTGATTCACTCAACAAGGTCGGTGTTGTCAAAGTTGGGTTATACTCAAGTCTGGATGCTCCCTTTGTTATGCTTATGCCCTTGAGATATATCATTATATGTAAATGGAAAGGATGTGTTGTTGGTAGTTTTAAGTGGTTACAATTGATATTTCTTTCACAAGGTTGCTGGTAATTCTCTTACTTTGGATGATTTTACCCCTACACAAGTTTTATCCGGAAAGGCCCTTTGCTCCCTCGTTTAGTAGAGAGTTTGGTCATATGAGTTTGATGTGGTAAGTATATATTGTATGCTGCTATTGCATTTTTCTGTATGTGTTTGGTTTGAAATCAAGTGTCTGATTAGATGTACAATCAAGTAGCAGAGTAAAATGGTCATTTTTTATGAGTCAATACATTTAGTCATGTACAATCAAACAATATGGTTTCTTATTCGGTTAGGATTTCTTATCCAAACAAACCGTCAACACTTTCTCAATTAGCAACTATCAAACGGGACCTAAAAGTCAAAAGCCATGCTAATCCATAAACTTATCTGGCTACTCGTTTAAGCTCTTCGATCAATGTCACTTTTATTAAAACATTTAAATTGGCAATAACCATTTGTACTAAAAAACCAAAACACCGATTACTACAAGTTAAAACTGAAATAATTAGTTTAACCCAACATTTAGTTATGGATTATATACCCCAAACGAATCAGGGTTATACATAGGTTGAAGCATCTTTAGTATGAGGGAGGCTATTTAAAGACGGATTAAACTTTGCAAAAATATTAGACAAAATTGCAAAAATGGTCCCTGTGGTATGCATATTTTTGGGGTTTGAGTCCAAACCCCGAGTTTTTTGGATTCATGGTCCTTTTGGAGTGGTTTGTATGTGGAATTGGTCCCCGGACTTAACTTCCGTTAAAAAGGATCTGTTAACCCCCTCATGTACCTCACACGTGAGGGTATATCCGTCATTTCATATGTAAGGGACCATTTTTGCATAAACATTTTTTGGCTTAATTCTTTTAAAAGATCCCCACTGTTCCTATCTTCTTCCCCAATGTTCCTTTCTACATCATTCTTGAGAAATTTCACGAAGTACATATATAACAATAGTAAAGAAGACTTGCATTAGTAAGACCAAAAACCAAAGGGTTGGTCTTCATCTTCATCTTCACCATGAATAGGGAACTCAAGATATGAAGAATTCACAACTTCTTGTTCTGGGTAATCACCACATTCGATCTTTGGTAACATGTAACCACTAACGGGGGTTACAAACATCTTCTCCAACATATCTTCTTCCTCTAAAGACTCATCGCTCTGATCTTGTTCAAACAAATACGACGAGTCACCCCTCTCTAATAGATCAACATATTATGGATTGCTCGACTCAGTCACATCGCTTCTTACACCAACATCTTCATCATTCAAGCACTCTGCCGCCTGTTCTTGTTGCAGTGGCTCAGATGGGCTTTTGGTGCTTGATGAATTGGAGGTTCCTTTCTCCATTTATTGCAGAAGCAACTTGTCACTTAGATCGTGAACCTATATAAGAAACCAAACAAAAGTTGAGATTTTTAAGTTACGTTTAAGAAATTTTAAAGAAAGAGATTTCTATAAAATATCATTACCTCGGATTTTAGTTTTTCTTTTTATTGAAGGAGATTTTCGTAGTTTGCTTTGAGTTCGTTTTAGCTTTCTTAAAGAACGTCGTAGTCTTTCTCAAGTCGTTTGGTCTTCCACCGTGCATGGCGGTTTTGGAACCAGATTGCAATCTGTCGAGGTTGCAAGCCAAGCTCTTTTGCTAACTGAATCTTTCTATTGGGCTCAAGTTTGTTTTCTGTCTCGAAACTTTTCTCCAGGAACTGAAAGTAGTCTCCAAGAACTGAAACTTTTCTCAAGTCGTTTAAACGTCTCTTCTTTTCGGGTGCTGAAAGTAGTCTTCGTATTCATCATCACCATTGTCTTCCTGATCGAATGTTTGAAAGAGGTTTCTTCCGAATCCATTTCCTCCATCCTGATCAAAGCTAACCATCGACAATTGTTTGTGAGTTAGTTTAACTAAAGATCATAAAATTCAACCAAATAGATTGTGGGTATGTGACAAGTTATTCAATTCAAGTTGAAAAATGTGTTTTTTGAATCAAAAGTGTCCACTTGAAATGAAAAGGCTTCAATCTTCGAAAGGGAACATTACGCTTCTTGTTTCATCATTACAAAGTCAAACGAGTCAAGAGGACATCAAGGATTGCTTTTGGGAACATTAAGAAGACAATATTTGGAAGATCTAGGAAGTCATGATGAAAGAATCAAACACTTCTTTTCATCACCCAAATGAATCTACAACCAGACAACACAGACTGTAAAGTCAAAAGTATCAGAATCCAAACATATAAAGTATAATCTCTAATTGAGTGGCAATTAATAGAATAATAACCCCACGAGAAATCGTAAAATATTTTCAAACAACATGATCCAAATAAGTAAATATGTGTAATTACAAATATCAAACAAGCGATAATTAAAGAGCTATGTAACAGATTACCTGCAAAAGAATGAGTGGATCTAGATACGAAGTGGGAATCAAGAGGCATAGAAGAAGAAAAAGGTGCCCTCTTGTTTGTAACCATAACATAATTGAAACATGAGCCACCACCACCAACAGAATCGCTGCCGTGAAAAAAGCTTCAAAGAAAACATATAGCCATTGTTGTTGTAACAGAGCTCAAGAAGAAGAAGGGTAGAAAAAAGAGACGTTGGGGAACGTTAGGGAAGAAGATAGCAACAGTATTGGGGATCTTTAAAAGGAATTAAGCCAAAAAAGGTTTATGCAAAAATGGTCCCTTACATATGAAATGACGGATATACCCTCACATGTGAGGTACATGAGGGGGTTAACAGATCCTTTTTAACGGAAGTTAAGTCTGGGGACCAATTCCACATACAAACCATTCCAAAAGGACCATAAATCCAAAAAACTCGGAGTTTGGACTAAGGATCCAAAAACATGCATACCACAGGAACCATTTTTGCAATTTTGTCTTAATATTATAATGTTTTATGATTTGAGTAATAAGGTTTATGAAAAACCTTTTATAAAGTAGTGATTTTAACCCATTCGTCAATTTTAATAATGTTTATGATTCGAGATTCATGTTTATTTTTTAAGATTGTTTAAACCAAATTTTCCAAAATAATTAACGGGACTTAAGATAAAATTGCAATATCCGCTATTTTTATTTGCTTAATAACAAGCGTCGTAAATTAAAAAAATAGCGACACCTTTCTCCGTTAATTTGTTCATTAACTAATTTTTTTTTATTTATTGTATTGTTCTCTTATCAAAATCCCAAATTATGTAATTATATGATTACATGAGTATAAATAGGTCTATAAGAATATATATATATATATATATATATATATATATATATATTAGGTTATAATGTGGATGGGCAATTATTGTGCGAACGTATAGACAGTGCGATTCTATGAGAATTGTTAAGAGAATAAGTTGTTTAATAATGCAAATTAGTTCAATCTTACAAAAATATTGTCATTTTCATGCATTCTCACTAATTCTTATTCATTTTTGTTCTCACAAATCGTTTTTCACTCATTTTCATTCTGACAGAATACAACTCAATAAAATTCCGACAGAATGAGAATAATAATAATAAATCTATAATAACCTTATAGACGATTTAATTAGTGAGAATGTGTGATAATGATAATAGTTATGTTAGATTGAACGTATTTATATTATCAAATACCATATTTTTTTTTTTTATCATTCTCACATAATAACATTGTCCACATGTCTACACGATAGATGTTCATCCACATTTGAACATATATATATATATATATATATATATATATATATATATATATATATATATATATATATATATCCAGTAAGAATTTTTTTTTGGTAGGAAGGTAAGAAATTTTTTTTCGGCTTATTTTTTTGGCGAACAAGATAAATGATTCACAAAAAAAATCCCAAAAAAATATTTCGATGATTCATTTTTACGATGATTTTGTTGATATTTACTAAAATTGTCATAAAAGTGATTTTTTTCTTGATTTACCTAAAAATGAATCATCAAAGTGTTTTTTCCGGATTTTTTTTCTTGTGAATCATCTAATGATTCATTTCATTTTTTTATGTATATAAAAAATTTCTTACTTTCCTATCAAAAATTTTCTTCTTATTTGATCTTAACTTTCTCTCTCTCTCTCTCTCTCTCTCTCTCTCTATATATATATATATATATATATATATATATATATATATATATATATATATATAAACAAATAATAGTAACTTGGTACTATTTTTTTCATGGTAAGAACGTTTTCACCCTTTCGGCTCATGAATACAGGTATACTTTACAACTAGATCTTGTTTACTTTTTAATGATACCAGCAACACGACATGGATGATAATTGATATCGAATAACCTATTACTTAATACACAAGTTATCGAAAGATTATACATGTGTGTCTATGCATGTTTAATTAATCAGGCCTTGGAAACTACTATATTTTATACGAAGAGGCAACACATTTGACTTGTTTATATATAAGTCGGTCGTTTTGAGTTTTATTTGATTATTTAACACATTAATTATTTATAAAGTTAAAAAAAGGATAAGAGGGAAACAAGTGTGTAAATCTAACAGAAATCTCCTTTCTCCCGGACTCGATGAGTGGGTTTACATTGTGTGAAAGACGGCTTTGAAAGTTGTATCATCCAAAAATAGGACAAAACACTGGAAAGTGTTAATGGATGGATAATCAACATATATATTTATATGAGTCTCATTTGATACGTTTAGTTGTTTAACTCCTCAATATATCCAATGGATCACAAATAGGAATGTTGTGACTTTGTGACCCCAACTATTGTCATAAAACTATGATAGGATGGGATGAAATCACAAAAGAACAGAACAGCCAAGATAATAGAATGAGAGCGATGACATGATAATTAAGTTTTGTCGGCTTAGAGGAATGAAATGAATTATTCAAACAATCAAGATAAAATTCGATGACCACCTTTGAAATATGGAGTAAAAATATAATTTCGTGATAAAAATTTAATGATATTGGTCATATTTAAATTAGTTACTAAAAGAGCAAATCTATAAAAAAAAAAGTTGATCAATAAAACATGTGATGATAGATAGGCAACTGAAAAGTAAAAACCGAATAATCAGACGCCATTTCTCTTTAAAGCAATAATAACAATAATGTTGGGCGACGAGAAACGCATAAAAAAAAGTAACGGTTACATGGGATCGCAAGTGAGAAAAGCAAGCAAAACATAGGATAATAAACAATTTCAATAATCAATCTTGTTATTCAATCAATAAACAAATATTTATCTGAGCCGTAGACAAATTAGCTCTCATTTTTTTAAAAAAATAAATTTATTCATATATAATAGTATAATGCCATGAAACAAGACATACTAACCACATAAGATGAGATATGTTATGAATTGAAGAAGCAATAGTTTTAGCAGAAGGGCAACCATGGCTAGTTATAAACATGTTGTTCATGTTGTGGTGAAGCATAGGGCATAGGTGGTTGAGCATCATATAGAGGCTCAGCAATAAGAGGTGGTTGGGGTTGTTCTGGTCCTCTAGGAGACTTCGGGGGAAACAGAATTGGAAGCTTTAAAGGTGTGGACCCCGCGTAGCCACACAGTCCGTAAGTACAAAAAACAAAAAACGGGCAGCGATTGAAACACTGGCCACAATTAAACGGGTTGAAATTGGTATCAACACAAACACCTCTGCAACATTGCCAATTAAACGGGCATCGAATCCCGCATAATCCACAGTTGTTCACATCCGAGGTCACCTCAACACAACGGTTATCACAACACCTTCTTCTAACCCGAGACGGGTACCCACCCTCCTCACAAACCCAACGTCGGCCCCTGCACCCTGACACTTGGCTCCTAACCCGCTTAACCCATGGCACCACGACCCGTGTCCGGTTCCCCTCGTAACCTTCCCCTTGACCAACATACAACAGAAATACAATAACCAAGAGGTTGTTCATTCGAATATGGGTTGCTCCAACCATTTGCAAGATGCATTACTTTGAAAAAAAACAAGGTGTCAAGATTGTCAACATATTTATAAGGTGATGAGGAGGTAAATCATGACAAACAGAAAAAACTAGCTAATAGTCAGGGTGAGTTCATGTTTTAAGGCCGGGAGTAATTATTATTAATGTAATGTGTGAAAGAAAACGCGTTATTGGTTATGTGGGTGTTTTTTTTTTTTTTTTCTTCACTGTATGCATTTTCATGTGAGTAACGCATGATTAAAAGCCTGATATCTTATGCCCTCTTTAGTCTTTATAGCTTACATACATTCAACAAAAGAGAAGTGTGAAGATTAGGTAAAGGTAAATATGGGTGGCTCTAAATAATGATGATGTAAACCAAAAACAAGTAACCAAATCAACTTGTCAGTCTTATGACTAACGGGTAAAAACAAGTAACCCAACCGAGATCAAGTTTATGGTGAAAATTTAAAGTAAGGGCAAAAAGGGAATTATTGGTTTTACTTGGCCTCGTCTTCTTTTTCCTCTTCCATTTGTCCATAGCGACGCTTGAACTTGGCAACCTGACCAACACTTTCAGCCATCTGGCGTCTTGCTCTGAAGTGATAAACTTTTCCAGCTTGGTGTATTTTGGTCATCATAACATGCATCAATCGCCCACTTTGGGTTACATATGAGATCCATTGCATCTGAGGGTGGATTCCTTTCTTCATTTCTTCCTGCAACTGAAACAAAATCAATCAACACTTGATACAGCTCCTAGAGAACAGACAATAATTGAACAGTATACATTTCCTAACTGCTACACGTTATCACATAGGTGTAGTAACCATGACTCTGAGATGAGTAATCCAACCAAGCAGTGATTATGGAAACCGGATTCACCACTCTTTTACTAGACTACTGGTTCTAACTTGGTAAGGAGTCAGCATATCCAGCAGGACAAATAAGTTAGCAACAAATACACCATCTTCATTGGGGTAATAGATCGAACACTTGGTGCTCATTAAAAATAAAAACCCCTCTCATTTAGTTATGAAACGAAACCTGGACCCTTGAAAGTATCAGATCGCGGGTTCAATTCCCCATCAGGATGTTACTTCCTACGTTCTGGGAAGATAAACAAAAGTTGATTTTCATAAGCCAAAGTAGAAGGGTGTCTAATTTGAATCCAAAACTGAACAAAAATAATTAGGGTTTTCAGTAAAACACACAGTACTGGTCGTTTATGGTTAAAACATATAAATATTTCAGGAAAAAAAAAACAATGAATCATAGCAAATCAGAGATCCTACAAAGAAAGTGAAGCAAAAACGCATACAATCGAATTCAGGAGATTACGAAACGAGAAAATTTCCACATCCAATAATAGTCAACCAATTAAACCAGATATTCCCGGTAAGCAATGTTAATCAACAATGTGCAAGAAGAAAAAGCTAGAAGCTCAAACCTCCTGAAAACGATGAAACTTCGGCAATCACTGAGGCTCACCTTCAAGAATTCGCCGCCAGCCTCACCTTCTCCCCTTCGATAAAGAGTGAATTATATACATCACACCCCCAGAATTATGTTTAAATGACACTTATAATCCCTAATGAAAAAAAAATCTTTATTTGGGTGTTTGGTATAAAAAAAATTAAAATTAAAATTTCATATCACTCAATTCAATTTTAATCAAAAAAAAAAAATGGATAATAGCTTAATACAGTTACTGTGTATTTTCAATTTTGTACACAGGTAGTCATTGAATTTTTTTTGTCAACGTTTGATCATTTAACTTTTTTTATTTTTTATTATTTTTTTTATATTCAGTTTTTATAACCGTCTACTCCAGGTTAAACCGGAAAAATAATTTAATATGGTAATATAACTGTCAATTTGTACTAAGGGCGGCTTAACTAGTTTGGAGGCTGTAAGCGAACCAAAATTTTGGAGCCGTTTGGTTTTATTGTACTCCTCAATTATATTCACATACAAGTCAATTCTTTATGTTTTCTTCAATAACAATTTCAATATAAGATAAAGAATTTTTCCTATTGTAATAACATAAATAAACAAGAATTTGATAAAAAAAAATTATATATGATTCTTATAACACATAATATAACAAAAGTACATAGCAAATTTGTTACTAAAACTCATCATTCACTGTCAATAATTTATCGTATTTATGTAACACTCAAAATCAGAAAGGCTAAGAAAGGAAAGGAAAACCCTAAGTCAAGGGGTCAACTCGTCGAGTCCATAGGTGAACTCGACGAGTCGGAGCGGGATCCGGGTTATGGAATAAGTGACCGACTTGACGAGTCGGAAAGTGGACTCGGCGAGTCTGGTCTGATCGAGGAAAGCCCTAATCCGAGGGTTTGCACCATAATTAAAGGACCTTAAGTCCTCTCCTTAGTCCCCTTTGTCGGCCTGAAGCTGCTATACACGATTCCAAACCCTAGTTGAGTGAGAGAATGAAGGAAGTGGGTTTGAGGCTTTTGCAAGAGGAAGGTTTGGAGGATTTGAGCACTAAGGTGCTGGAGGATCCAACCCTTTTGTTGTGAGCATCAGTTTGAAGGTAACAATTTGTCACTTTGCCTTTGTTGCTTTTAGATCTTCTCATGGATGATGTTTTGGGGCTATTTTGGTATGATAAGGAGCCTTTTGAGTTAGAAGTCCAGATTTGAGTTTGCTACTTCAGATCTAGGTGTGTCTTGGCCCAGAGATCCATAAAGTATCAATTTTTGGTGTGTTGGCTAAGCATGTTTGCCCCAAACCCTAGCCTTAGAGTGTTTTAAGCCCATATCTCTTTGGTTTCACGTAAAGTTTGCAACTTTACGTGAGGAATAGACTTTGGAAGAGTGGATCTATGATATGGAGCCCCTGCATAGGTCGAAAAGCCACTTTATGGATTAAGAACTGAATAGACTCGGCGAGTAGTATGAAGATGGAGATGAACTCGATGAGTTGGATGAATAACTCGGCGAGTCTGTTGAAGATTGCCTTGGACTCGGCGAGTCTGTTCTTGGACTCGGCGAGTCAAGTCGCAAAACCCCAAACCCTTCGAGTTAAGATTCGGATCAGTGAGTTGAGTGGGGACTCAGTGAGTTGGACAGGTCAGGACTCGGAAATCGGTAGACTCATCGAGTCAGGGGCTAACTCGGTGAGTCGAGTCGCAAATGAAAGGATTCTGAGCATATGCACTCGCCGAGTCAGTAGGTAGACTCGGCGAGTAGGGTTGATATGGAAGGTTGACTTTCATCAGGACTTTGACTTTGACCAGAGTGAACTTAGTTGGCTTCGGAGGATAGTTTGACTAAGTGCTATATTGATATGGGTAGCTCAGGGAGCTAGTGGGACAGCAGTTCAGAGAGAGTTGTCAGACAGCGGCCAGAGGGATTACCAACAAGTTCAGCGGTTCCAGGTGAGTTTCCCTTTGTGTGAATGGGTCTAAGGCTACAATGCCTGCCCATGTAGATATCAGTAGGAAGACCCAGGGATTAGCCCTAGGCACTGTATGCCAGTATGATATTTAGGACCAAGGTCCATTGATAGCGGGCGCGTGCCCAAGGAATGGTTTGCATGATAGAGTATACTTGTTGTCTATGTGATACTTGTATGTGCCTGGTAGGGTGGTGAGTGTGGGCGAGGTTCTGCATCTCACCAATAGTAGAGTGTGGACGGTGTTCGACATCTCATTAGCAGCAGAGCAGGGGCGAGGCCCAAGTTAGGGAAAGAGTAAGTGTGGGTTGGGCCCGTATCTCACCACCAGTAAGGGCGTGGACGGGGTTCCATGACTCATCAGCAGCAAGTCAAGGATGAGGCCCAAGATGGGTGAGGCCTTAGGACATGATTCATTAGTATATATTTAGCTTATGTGTTGTGATATGTTTATGTGCTATTATATGATTAGCGGGCGAGGCCTGAGTGAAACAGATATGTATCCGAGCGGGGCTCGAAGCCAGGCGGGGTCGTTGTAGCGGGAGAGGCCCGAAATAACGGGCGTGGCCCAGTATGTGCTGTATGTGTTTTTATTAGGGTATGTGGTAGGTTGGGGAACTCACTAAGCTTCGTGCTTACGGTTTTCAGTTTTGGTTTCAGGTACTTCCGGTAGCGGAGGGAAGAGCTCGGGGTGATCGCATGGCACACACCATTGATTAGTCAGCCTAGGATGTTTTACTCTAATACTGAAAATATGTTCTGGAAATGATACTCTGAATTCATGTTATGACTTATGAAATTGTAACACCCAAATTCAGGAAGGCCAAGTAAGGAAAGGAAACCCTAAGTTTAAGGGACGACTCGTCGAGTCCAGTGCGGAACTCGGCGAGTCCGAGCGGGATCCGGGTTCAGGAGTTAGTGACCGACTCGGCGAGTCGGCTAAGGGGACTCGGCGAGTCTGGTCTGATCGAGGAAAACCCTAATCCCGAGAGTTGTATCCTATATAAAGTGTGTTATGTCCCCCCCCTTAGCCTCCATATCATCCTAGAGAACCTGTAAACCCTAGATTTCGTGTGAGCTTCCATCATTTGAGATAAATAGCTTTGGAGGAAGGAAACTTTGGAAAGGAAGTTGAAGATCATGAAGGTTGCTTCAAAGGGGAGGTGTAGATCCGGGATCTACTTCAGTTTGTGTTCATCTTGGAGGTAATAAGCTGCTATCTTCCCTCCTTTGCATCTAGATCTACTTTTGTTATGAGATTTGGGGGTTTTATGGTTGTTTGAGACCCAATTCAAGTTTAGGTCTTAGATATGTTGTTTCCACTTCAGATCTAGTGTTGGGATGGTCCAATATGTCGTAAAGCATCAGAAGATGAGTAGTTGGTGAAGCCCTTTTGTCCCTAAACCTAGCCCTAGAGTGTTTTGAGCCTAGATCTCTTTAGTTATACGTAAAGTTTGCAACTTTACGTGAGGATTGAGCTTTGGAAGTATGGATCTATGATTTGGAGCCCCTGCATGGCTTGAAAAGACACTGTATGGATTAAGAACTGGAGCGACTTGGCGAGTCACATGGGTGGACTCGGTGAGTTGGATGAAGTTGGGCAGGAACTCGGCGGGTTGGAAGAACAACTCGATGAGTCTGATGAAGATTGTCTTGGACTCGGCGAGTCAAGTCGCGAAACCCCAAACCCTTCGAGTTAAGACTCGGATCAGTGAGTTGAGTGGGGACTCAGTGAGTTGGACAGGTCAGGACCCGGAAATCGATAGACTCGGCGAGTCGAGTCGCGAATGGAAGGAATCTAAGCATATGAACTCGGCGAGTCAGTAGGCAGACTCGGCGAGTAAGGTTGACCTTGACCAGGACTTGACTGTGACCAGAGTTGATTTGGTTGACTTTCGGGGGACAGTTAGACTAACTGTTGCATTGATATTGGTAGCTCGGGGAGCTAGTGGAGCAGAAGTTCAGAGAGTTGTTGGGCAGCAGCTAGAGGGGTTATCAACAAGTTCAGCAAGAGCAGGTGAGTTTCCCTTGGGGTGAATGGGTCTAAGGCCACAATGTCAGCCCATGTAGTTATGAGTAGAAGACCCGGGGGTTAGCCCTAGGCACAGTATGCTA